TTTGAAATCTTCCAATCACAGGACGTGAAGTTCGCGACTGATGTTTGTCGACTGATGTTTTTAATATTATTTATTTAAATGATTTAATTAATATTGATTTTATTCATTAAATTGTTTATTATTTAAAATGTTTGAAAAGTACATACTTTTTTATTGATATAAATGATGTTTGCTGATAATCGAATTCGCAATTGCGACATTACTTTTCGTCAATTAAATTAGACTCAATTTAAACATACAGCAGTAAATGTTAATAAAGATTTCAAAACTTTTGCAATACTCATTCGGCATCGTGTGGTTTAGCGGTATCCATCAAAGCGCTCTCGCGGCTGGCGCTTGGTTGTGCTGCACCTGACGGCGCGAACTTCACGTCCTGTGATTGGAAGATTTCAAAGGCTCACAATTTAAAAACTGTTGACCCCACAACATTTTGCTATTAACATTTTCGACTCAGTTTTTCATGAGGAATACGTACGTACCGGCATCTCGGGTTGTCTGAATCACCCTGCATATATATGGTATGTGCATATATGTTATATAGTAGATATATTTTTGACGGAATGCTCGATCACTTGACGTGGCTCTTCGATTAGAATTTTCTTAAGAGTTTGCGTGAAGGAAAACTATTGACTCTTAAAATTCATACAACAATTGTATACCTTGCCGTTTTCGGTAATCACTATTTATTGATTAGCTGTTTTTTATTTATATCAACATTCAATAATATTTAAACATAATTTATTTAAAATAATTTGTTCACAAAATAATATTCTTAAATTAATATATTTCCTTTTGTATTTGTTATTTATTTACAATTATTTAATCATTTTTTTATAAATCGAATAATACATTCAATAATAGTTTCGAATATGAAAGTAAATTCAGGGGGTAACCACTCAAAACATATGTATACACATGGACTTCGGACTTCAAAACTTTACCGGACTTCATCGGAATTCATCGGACTTCAATGGAATTCATGAATTCATCGGACTTCGCTTGATTTCATCGGACTTCACTGGAATTCATCTGACTTCACCGGACTTCATACGAATTCTGATAGATTGTACACCGGAATTCAAGAGTGGGTTACCCCCTTGGAATAAATCGTTTTCATAGAACAAAATCTATTATACTCTCCTCCCCTTTCAACAGTAAACTAAGAAATATATTATTCTAAATAACCAGAATTACCAATTTCTGATAAAAAAAAATTCTTTCCTTTATCTATTAACATAGACTTTGTTTCGACATCCAATTCTTCAAAACTTTCTGTCCGGATTACATTCGTCATGTTTTTAAAATAGAAGTTGAAGCAATATTTTATCAATTCCTAAAGAATACAGATGCTATACATCAGAGCTGGGATTTAATTGCACATTTCAGCCGATTTTCAGCTTGGTTCTTGCTTCTCACTTCACCAACCCGCGCGCAGCTTAAATGCCTGAAGTGAGGGGCAGGAACCAAGCAGAAATTCGGCCGAAATGTGCAACTAAATCCCTGCTCTGCTATACATATAAGTGAATTTAAAACATGTAATGCAAAGATACATTTTTACAGCCAATGAATTTTATCTAAAAGCGATATTGATAGCTGGATAGTTTGAGAGGAATATATTTGTCTGTGAAATAAAAGATTCGCGTTTAGAAATTTTAAAGGGAAAAATACTTTATTAGGTTGGAAAGGAGAATGGAAAACAAATCCCATTGGATTAATACGTCAATTCCATTATGAATTTTACAATACTTTTGTCTTAGAAAGTAATCCACGATAAAAAAAACAGTTACCTTTTTGTAATGTTCTACTGTCATTTCATTGATAATTTTAAAAAGACGCATGACGTTCGATACATTAATTGTTTTTTTTATTTTTCGTATACAATCCGTCTGGAGATTTTTCTCGCAGAATTCATCTGCCAGTCGCAAAAGATCTGCAAGGAAGAGATATTTTAGTCGCGAATTGCAGATGTAATGGATATGCGGCACGTTTATTTCAAACTCACCTAAAAGGTTCTCAAAAGATGATAGATTGATCCTACCGGTATATAAATATTCCAAAAATTTTTTATAGACGATATACTTATAATTATGATTCTCGATGATGCTGTCAAGAAAAACATGTCGAAATATTACAAATGAATCAAACTAAAAGATTTTTAAAAATATATGTTTTTTTGTATGTACCTTTGCTTGTTTTCAATCCAATCAGTTTGAAACATGGTTCTAAAATATGTAGAACGAATCTTCAGGATAACCTTGTGAACATAAATTGATTGTTTCTCGACTACCATCGTGAGATCACTCGTAGACTTTAGAGACAGAAAACAAGAAGTAATTATTAAACATGAACATATGTAATTACCAAATCTTTCCCTTTGTCACGCAATGAAAAAATGTATAGTGTAATAAAAACAAAGACATTTAAGATACCAATCCGTACAGCACAAAAATATTGCAGAAAGATTTCATTGCCAGATTGCAACGTTGCACAGGTATTGTGAAATATTGCTGCAATATTTCAGCAATATTGTAGGAACGTTAAAATGTCCGTTTCAGAAATATTGATATGTAATGTTGCAGCAATATTACAATATAATATACATATATGCAATATTACGTTTTGCACACATTTCAAGAATACTTACAGCAATATTACAGAAACATTAGTATTGTAAGTAGTAATATTGCAGCAACATTGCTGTAATATTACAACATTATTGCAATATTTGTTGTATATAATATAAAGATATAATAATATAAACACATAATGTCGTATTTTATTTGCATCTGTTGTATTATGTTACATTTAGTTCCTATTTTTAATTTTTTTTCTTTAATATACCAATTGTACAGTATAAAATCTTACAATAAATAAAAAAACAAAAAGTAAAGGACTCTTAATTCATACTATTATGCCCTTTTTTATCTTATTATTATTTCAAGAATTAAGAGTTCTTTACTTTTTCTTTTTCAATTTTTGCAAGGTTTTATATTGTATAATTGATATATTAAAGAAAAAAAGTATGTAACATATTACAACGGATGCAAATAAAATATAACAATTTATGTCTTTATATTTTATATATCTTGTATCTTATTTGTGTCCATTGTACGTTATATACAATGTGTGCAGGTTCTTATTTATTAGTTGCAGTAAAAATATATATATAATGACGTTCGATATTTTATATTAATAAAATTTAAATTATAAACGTAATTCTTATTGTTATAATTAATGAGCTTTTTTTAACCAAGCATTTTTATAATAAATGTAATAGCATAGACATTTTTTGTAATATTTATAAAATAATTCTGCAACATTGCTGAAGTAATATTGCTAATTGCAACATTGCATTGCAATTTGCAACGTTGAAATGTTGCAGCAATATTGCTACAAGTTTCTGTGCTGTACGGGAAATCACGAAACGAGAGATATTATTGAAAAACATGCTAAGAATTTACCAAGGAGACAAAATAGAACTATGACAGTCATTATAATCGATTTCGGATTGTAAGCATTTTCAATTAATGGCTTGCTTGCGGTTTTTAACACGCCATCAGTTGCAAAAGTTTGAAATTTTTTTAACATCTTCTAAACTAAATTTCAAAACTAAATTTCAAAAATGAATCGTACTTTAATCCTTATGGTACTTCATAATTGGAAATACTAAATTCGAGAAACAAATTAACACACAAAATAAAGACTAACTTTATCGTTGAATGCAGTTTCCAAATCATTTAATATGTTAAATTCTTCATTTATGAAATGACGGGTCATAGATATTGGCGATTGACCCATCATCGAGTTGGATATGTCAAACGCGTTCGTATATTCACAGACGATAGGTTTTTTAGATGGCATCCTAGAACCAAATGTGCAGTAGACAAGTCCATTCTCCCTAGACTTGACAAAGCTTTTGTAACCAATAGCGGCGATGTCTGATACTTTTTTTACATTAGCTATATTTATCTGCCGACCAAAAAGTTCTGTGATTCATTTTACGCTTTTCTGTTTCCTGTTTGAGAAAATACAATTATAGAAGCAAACCATTCACCAAGATAGGAGACGAAACGTCATCTGTGTTATTCGGATTCAATTGTCCACTAATGTTTGAACCCCAGCCGTAGACTTTTCCTTTATCAGTTAGAGCGAGTGTATGAATAGTTCCACAGACTACTTTGACTAAACATTAAGATTAGACAGATTAGGTTCTTGTACAATGCTTGCAGCTATAAATTCTTCATGTATACATCTTTACATCTTTAGGAATGTGTTTTGCAGAAAATTACCAATCGTTTTGCCTGTAAATTCTGCTATTTCATGTGGCTCTTCTATGAAAGAATTTGTGCCTGAGGTTTGGTTAGAACTGGTAGAAGTACTCAATCCCTCGCATAAATTTCTACCCCAAGTGTACGTTTTGCAGTTATCGGTAACTAGCACATAAAAATTAATTCCGCAACCCATGCATATAATCTTCTCTTTGATATCCATTTGGTATATACCGCAACCAAATCCGCATTTCCAAATGTTTGTGTAATATACCTGAATTAAATGAACGTAATATATCTAAGTTCATAAAGTTAATAATAATTGCGTTTGCTGTTTGATGAAATTCTTTGTATATGATACATTCCAACCCAAGTTATAATCGCTTTATTCCTCTTCAAAAATTATTACATGAAAATCATTATATCACAAAATTTATTATTATAAATCTAATGATATATGTATCATCTGTATAAAAGATTTGATATCAACAATTGTGGCGCCAAGTTAAATTCTGTTAATTTAATTAAATTTAT